CTATGGCATAGACAAATTTCGATTGCTGAGTTTTGGTATCGTTGCTTGGTGGACAGGGTCGAGAAGACGGAAGTGCGTGACGAGGGCGATAAGATCACTTTTTTTTTTTAGTCGAAATGTCTTCTTCCACATAAGGTCACTGCTAGGAAAAGTAAAATCGAAGCGGGGCGAGAGCGATGATAGCCATGACCGCCAAATGGTCGTCGTCGCTAGAGCTGTCACTGCCAATTAATAAAAAATGACAGCTGCACAATACGATAGGCACAAATCGACCTTCCAAAAAAATATAAAACTCCCTGTTATTTCTTTTCACATTCAGTAAACCTAGTTTACTGTATGTACATCGCACAAGGTCTCTACTATTGAATGTCACACGAGACGCTCAGATTCTTGAGTATTCTCATTAATTGCCAAGCGGAGCGAAGGCGACTCCGATTGCTTAAAATTGGACTATGTAGTTTACGTAAGTACTTTATGTGGTTCACCGTGTACATATGAAAATTTGCACAAGGCTACGAAGGCGGCATCGTTTTAATATTATTTACTTTTTTTAGTAATCAATGTTATTTTTAAAATTCGAGTGCTTAAACTGAGGGCCTGCCTCCAATGCTGCAGGGTGCTTATTGTGTGCACGTAGCAAAGTGTGTTTCCGAGAATACGATTTTAATATACGTAATACTCTGTATTCAATAGTTTCTGACCGAGCTATGCACCGGCAAGCTACAATGACAGCCATCGACTAAAACTAAAAGCTACACTTGTTTTGTTGTAAAAAAGATGCTTTCTGAGTGGGTTCAATGAGGTAACTGGGCTGCCTAATCGTAGTATACCCAGTAGCTGGCCGTAAGAACTGGCTAATAAACGTTGTCACTAAACCCTTTGGATAGCTAATTTTAGATTGAACAAAAATAAACTCAAATTTGATGGTGACAGTTTCTACTGGAAGCGAAATGTCTGAAGTACGCCAAACACATCCAAGATATGAACTGCTAAGGGCGCCCCATGCGGTTTAAGTGAAATTATTGCACTTGTTTGGTATCATCTCTTCTCACAAATTATTAAGTAAAGGGTTAACCCTTTAACTACTGAGCCTTTGATACGGGTCCAACGGGACCTCTACCAGAAATAAAAAAATCGTCAAATGTTTCGCTCATAATTTGCAAACATTAGAGGTCTTTAGGTTAACCCACTTTGTCGGACATATGGATTTGCCACAAGTTCGACAGTGTGAGTTTCAACAGCTATTTTAAGAGAACTGAGAGGCTGTTCATTGCTGGTAGTCTGATTCTAGTTTACAACAGTAAGAATTAAGCTCAAATGGGTTTTTTCGGTTCGAGGAGAAGACCGACAAAGTGTTAATGAAGGTCCTCTAAGGAAGTTAAGCCATACAGCGCCAAGTATGGTCAAACTGGCAACGCTTGGGAGCTTGTTGCCAGGCGGGTCTCGGAAGCAGTGGGCCTCACCGAGCAGCTCAACACCAAGCAAGTTCAAGACCGCATCCGCACACTCAGGAAGAGCTGGAAGAAGGGAGAGCTTAAATCCGCCATCGGTAGCGGCATTCATGAATCGCTAGACGCTGCCAATGAATTGAGTGAGTACGAAACTTTGCCAGGACTAATAAATGAATATGTGCATCTTGAAAAAGAATTTTGAGAAGCGAGCGGCTGTATCGGCAAAGAAAAAAGCGAAAGACGCATGCCTGGATATTTGCGCTTCAGAAATTATCGCGCAGAGCAACAGACGCAGAGCTGAGCGCTCGGGGGTCAGCGATGACACGGTATTTCTTGTGTCTGGCAGCGACATGGCCTCGTACACGAACGCCCCCATATCTGCGACGTCTACGCCAGCAAAAGCAACCTCCGCATCCACAGCCTCCACACCCATAACGGCTATTCCAGCAAAGAGCGCTGGCAAAAAGAGAATGGACGCATGTGCGGCTGAGACCGAACGTTTAGAAAAGCGAGCTAAGGAAGTTGCCGACATGCAAAATTTGCAGTTTGAAGCAAAAATGAAGTGTCAAAAGCAGCGGCACGACGATTTAATGGCCCTACAACGGACTAAGATGAAAGCGAGATCAAAAACGGAGAAACAGAACCGCAAGCTGATCTTGCAATGCGCAAAGATTTTTAGCGATGCGTTGAGCAAGAAGTAAGATGCTCAAAGTGCTTCGGTATTTGACAAAGATATATTGGCCTTATATTAAATTTACTTGCAGTGCTTATCCAATCGTTGTCAACGAATGATTTTTTAATTTCTTTTATTGCAAGTACTCTTCTAAGCTAGGTGGGCTAACTCCGAAATAGTCACTTACAGTGTTTTCTCCCCTCAAACATGTAATACAGTTTGTCAGAAACACACCGACTCGATACATTTGACCGATTGGTTGTGTCCCTGTTCGAGCCTTCCGCTTGATGTCAAGAGTGGACCAATAGTTACAAACTTGGCCGTAAGACCACTCCACCGAATACGTACCTTAGTCATGCTGGCGCTGACTAATTTCTCGTCAGCAGTGAGAGTAGCCCCTCCAAACGGACAGCACAATACATCGTCACGTCCATAGGCATGGTCTCCAAAGATCCGACAATGTATAAATCTTTCATCGCTGCGAATATTCTCTGAGAGCTTTGAGTGGCGATAAAGCTATGTCGTGGTTTCTTCCGGGAAAGGGGCCATAAAGATGAGAAATTAATCCGTCAGGCGTGGTCAACGACTGAAATTTTAGGGCGGGTTTTCTGCGATGACCATTATACACCGCTTGTTGACTCATGAGAAAGCCGCCCCGATCGATGTTGCGGGGCCCTGGCCTGCAGATACCCCGGACTGTTCCATCAATAAAACCCCACACGTTCGAAAAATGTGCGCCTTTTTTTGAAAACGGCCTCTGCATACTCCTCCAAATGCATGACTGCATATTCGTGATTAAATGCGATTAACTCAGTGTACTTTGTGTCCAAGTAGCTAATCATATACATGAAGATATTTGACAGTCCACTAGCCGATCGTCCGCCAAAACGTGGACTCATATCCACCCAGCGCGTCGGAATTGCTAGTTTGTACAACATCACACACAAGGCTTCAATTCCAGTTGCTGCTGTTCCTTCAGTGGTGCTAACACCCTCGATCTTAAAGGCGATTACCAAAGAAATAAGCTGGTCCTTTGAAAAGCAAAATTTCTGCATATAGTCCTCCGATGACAACGCGTTGAAGCTGAACGGCACGCAGGGAGGCTTTTCAGCGTCATCGGGAATGACTGACTCCAAGTACGCTCGAAATATGGCGGCTTCATTAAAGCATCCAAGCTCAATAGCATGCTGCCAGCGCCGGAGAAGAAATCCATTTTTTGGTGTCGTGGTACGTCTTTCGTGAGGTTCCGGATGAAGTGAGCGAAGTCAGAATCAGAAACTTGTAGGTTCATGATACTTGGAAAAGTGTAGCCTTTACAGGCTGTCAAAGACGTCGATGGAGTAGAAAGAAGAAGTTTGCTGTGCCATTCGACTGCGTGCCATTTGACTGTCGGTGTATGATCTCTCCCGTTCAGTTTTACAGGACAGAAATCTTTATTTAGCTCTTTCACAGAAGCGTAAAATGTAATCCACAAAGCGTAATTTTCTTTCAAATTTGCGGGGATCTACGAGCTCACACGGTCGGTTTACCGTATGATTTTCAGCGTTTAGGTCTTGGCAAACCGACAAAAGCAGAATTGTGGTTTCTTCTAAAGACCTCTATTTGTTGGACAATTACGAGGTAGAGGTCCATGTGGATCCCTACCATATTACGTTAACTTTTGCAAATCATTAGACTCTATTATACCCAATTGCGTCTTAGAAATTTTATGGTAGAGGTCTATCCGGACCTCTACGAAGGGAAAATTCGCCCAGTAGCTAAAGGGTTAAAGATGCATTGATGATGCATCGTGATTGAGGAGTACATTTCAATTAAAGTATGCTGGATGATTACGAATCGTACAGTTTGTCGTTTTTAAAGACGGGAATCAGTTGAACTTTTGCAAAAGGGGGCATCAGGCGTCCTTTGATGACCTGATCCAGTCCCTTCTTTTGCAAACCCACTTTCAGGGCGCACCAGATGCCCTTATATCACAAAAGGGTTAGCATTAATTCCGAGCAAGAAGGTACTCGCTCATCCCTCCCATACAAAACCTAGGCATAAGTGTCGCCATCTGTCATCATTTGGCCGGCAAATTGGCTCGGATTTATCTTACCTATTCTAATGAAATTTGATTTCTCGTTATAAAATCCGGGAAAATTCAAAGGTAGGCTAATTGAATGTTTAGGAGGCTCAAAAACTGACTGACGCTTCAATTTATTCAATTAGATCAGTGAAAGCGTAGATACTTGCCTTCAAAGCTCGGTCGGTCGTGCAGACTGCACGCTCCTAAAAGATCTGACAACATCCCGTTTTAGCGATGTTCTTAATTTAGTTAAGTCAAGACGTAAATTCTATTCAAGAGTTTCCTACACCCCCTAGCAGATATTGCGAAATTTCTCAGATGTAACTGAATATTTATTCGATACGTGATTGGCGGAAAATCCAATCTCTTAGCTTTTCAACGATACCTTGTCGTAAAATATGGTCTTATTGGTCGATCCAGGAGGTAGTTTCAAAAAGATACAAACATTCGGACCGACCGGCCGAAGAGCGCCTTCTTGCACGGAATTGGTGTTAATAACGTCAGTATCATCGAATAACCACCTGTACTAGAAATTGTGAGTGCGAGGGCTACTAACGTAGAAGTATGTTACATGTAGCTGCGAAAACTCGGCAGCACTATGAAAGAGAAATTAAATAGAATAAGTAGATCCGGGCCACTTTTGTAAGCCGTGAGTAGTCGTTTGCAACTACTTATAAGTAGATTTCAGCACAAATCTTACCATTTATTGTGTATCAATAATTGTAATAAGTGCGAGAAGACGAGGGATATGAAAATAAAGACGAACGTAACTCTTACAAGCCTAAGTAGATTCTTCATTTTCGTGTTAGCAATGGTGGCTGTCCGTCTGAACTGCCCGGTGTGCGAGCACAGCTTTGCAGCCTCAAGCGATTTCAGCTCGCATTGGCTGTTGTACCCACTGAATAGAAGTTTTTTGTCGAGACAGGCTTGAATACGACCGCCTTCACGCCAGGGCTACATTCTTCTTGGTTTCCCCATGAAATATTAAGTCGTAAATTTTGTCGTATTAAAAATATTAAAACAAATACAAAAATCGTTTTTAAGACAAAATGAGCGAGTCATAGGTTTTTGCTAAATTACAATAATAAAAAATCGAGTTTCTTAGAGTGTCAACGACTCTCACACTGAATTTCTGGCCCTTTGCCTCTTTTTTGAAGATACCGTAGCAGGGACTTCAAATCATCAGAGGGTCTGCTTATCGGTAAGTATTTCACCACAAATTAGTCATAATTCGCTTGCCCGAAATGATATTCTGGGCACCCGACAAATAGGCACGTGGCTCACATTCAGATTTCATCACCCCAGAGAAGGAGTGCAACGAACATCTCGACACCAGTGCGCACAACACAGGTTATTTTAGTCAGCACCATCGTAGCTCAGCGGCTAGAAACTAGAGCTGTCGACGTCTCGGTGTCAGCCCAGTCGACGTCTCGACGTCCAACAGTCGTCGAGAGATGTCGACCTGACACCCTGACGAGATCCTCTATCTTGTCACTATTTCGATTTAAAGACATACTTAACCTCTCCAGTTGACCAGAACCGTGAGCACGTTCCCCAGGTTGGAGAGCAACGCTGACTACAATGGCGCGGATGTCCGTAGTGCTCCCAGCACCTTCGCTACCGGCTGCGTCTTCTTCTATTTCAGATGAGATGCGATATGTGGACGAACGACATCTAGTGCTCACGTTGTCCAAGTGAATTATTAAGGCCAGTAATGACTCCGTCTCCAGTGTCTACCAAAAGTCCGCGTAGACCTCTATCCAATCGCCCGGCTGCATCTGCGGACCCACCGCTGCGGCGAGTACGGCGAACTGGACCTGCCGCCGAATACATCACGGTCCCGTCGTACACGAAGCTGAGTGTCGCGCGGAATTTCGTGGACAACCCGATCTCCAGTAACGCGCAGTACGGTTTCAAGACGGCAGCAGGGCGTTATGGGTGGCGGTGGAGCCGACGGACTTCGTGTCGGGCGTGCAGATTCTGTCGATCAACGGGCAGGAGACGGTGCTGATCAATTCGGCCTACTACTTCCTGATTGACGGGAGCGGCACGAGGGTCACGGACTTGATTTCCGTCCGCCTTTCGTGACATGTTGGAGATACGTCGTCGCCGTCCGTTGATGCGTGTACTGACGGCACGTCACAGTTCCCTACCAGTGGCGACACTTCTCAAGCGACAACGTCGATGTAGACTTCAACGACCACGTCAGCTCCAACTACCGCCACCACTTCCAGCGGCTCCTACTGCATCACCAACTACTACGGTTGCTACGTCATGTCCGACATAAGGTTCTACTACGCCTTCGGTTACGACATCACCTCCAACCAAAGGACCTACTACACCGACAACTACAACCTCAATTACGATAACGACTCCAGGCATGACGTCGCCACTAACTGCCGCTCCTACTTCTACTCCTGCATCAGTCACAGAAGCTCCGACTACGGCTCCACCAACTACGTCGCCGCCGACTGAAACTATAACAGGCATTGCGATGACGAACTAATTCTCATTGCCGTTGTTGATAGCTCGTTTTGACCAAACGTATGTAGACTTCATTAATGTAATTTGCTAAAGGAAATGGCGTCTCCTGATCTTCGCATTCGCAGAATCAGACGCTTCAAGATCTCGTCACGTTTTGAGCCATGCAAAAAATATCGCGGACTGTGTCAGGCTTAAGCACTTCTTGGGGTACTACCATACTCATCGTAAGCGACACAAACAATAAACTGCCAAAGCTCCTTTACTTGCTGCGATCGTTTTGGAGCGGCAAATGTCCTTCCTGTAGAACATGATCGGATATTGGCATAGTCGTATGTCTGGCAGCTCGTTGTAGGTCGCGTAGTCTCAACTAGGATAGGCCTCGCCGCCACAGGAGAAGGTGAACTGAGCCTGTGTCTTAATCTTGGGGGGGGGGGTCTTGGCCGTAGAGGAGCTGATGCTCGCTTTTTCAGTGTTGATTGTGTTCTCTGTCGACTCGGTGGCTGCGAAATCGTTCTTTGCCTTGGCGGAGGAGACGCGAAGAAGCTGCCATCGCCATCGGGCTCGCTGGTCATTGTGACAGAGTTCAACGCACCAGCAGGGTTCAGGATAATGAAGCAGCTCCAGTGGAGGCTCCAGGCAAGTGCATGAAGCTGCCAGCTTAAATGAGAAAATGAGGTATTGTGCACTCATTGGTTCGTCAAATGCATTTTTAACCAATCGGTATATGCTACGGAGCGGGATGTCGGCGGGATGTCGGCACTATGTCGACTGACACCGAGCAGACGTCGGTAGTCGAGTGTCCGAAAAGACGTCCGGATCCGTTGATGTCGATAGCTCTACTAGAAACCCGCATGCGGGAGACGAAGGTTTAAATCCATCCGGTGGATGTACCCGCTGTGATGTTTAAGCAGTGGGAGAAGGAAATCAGAGCGGGCGTTGCTGCAGGCTACTAGAGTGGTGATGTATCAATTGACAAGGGACCGGAAAACGACAGCAATCATATATGTAAGAACTTAAATATTCATGGAAGAAAGTTTTGTGGAGGTAGTGTGCAGTGGCGCCCTGTAAGACAGCTTCGTCCCAGTGGTGGTGCATACATTCAACGGGGCAGCATCGAACTAGCATGTGCACAACAGTTAAGGGGCATCATTGCGGTAGCAGTAGATACGCGCATTGAAGTTACAGGGCATTAAGTGGCAGGGCATCGCAGAGCAGTTTACAAGTGCAACAATTATGGTGGAGCAGTGGATTAGCAATTTTCCGAAGCAGCAACTACGGAGCGGCACAAAATTTGGAGAAATGAATTTTAAACCAGCAAAGGGATCGAGTAATCGAAGGTGGGGTAGTGCATGGAATACTTGTGCGTTGGGGTAGTTGCCGACTAACAAGCCGGTGAATGGATTACAGCATCAGTAAAGCTTGTGACGGTGGATGGATTAGTGTGCATTGGTCCATGCGGCTGGTCAGACAAAAACGTTACTATTAAATAACCGTGAATTGGAATTGTTATGGCAGTGGATATATTTTGCTGAGCATTGGACCCGTTATAGACTAATGGAGCAGTCGAGTAACAATGCGGTACAGCTTCGCTACGTTGGGCATCCAGCGGCTAGGTATTACAGCGGCTTTTCGAAGAACACCCCGTAGTTCAGCACAGTTGTTGGCGTGCAGCAGGCCATACGACAACTAGGACAGGGGGATACGCATGCGGTACTATTATATCGGTGTGTGGTCCCTACCGCGTTTTCAGATGTATTGCAGTGACAGTGTGAGAGAGAACGACGGTGAGCCGGGAGCTGGAAAGAAGCTCGGGTATTAACAAGTGTCAGTGCTGTGAATAACTACAAAAGTATGGAGGTTCATATGGCGCTTCCGGAGGCGCTTAGTTGTCGGCTGAGCTTTAAGAACGGATACCATTTCGAGGCTGCCGTGATAAGTGCCGACCCTCTCCGTAAGTTGTGTATGAGCTTTCTGACGGGGGCCGTGTTCTTAGTGCAAAGGTGCAGGATCATTTTGTGAGCAAGATTTCTGGTCAATGGCGGCCGGAATTCGAGCTTTACATCAAGCCAAGTGACCAAGCAAAACAGAAGCAGTTCGAAGTTTTATACCAAGAGCTTGAAGCCTTGATAGCTCAGCTGCATAATTGGGACCAGGCCAGACTCCGACACAATGGACAAGCTGGATTTGAGCTCAAACATTTCGTCTACGTTCCGAAACCTGAAGCACAGACAACTCTACGTCATGCGACCGCATCTCGTATTCAAAAGTAGATGCCCCGTGATGCCGCGTCTTCAAGAGCAGCAAGTCGACGCTGGGCCTTCATTCCAGAGGTACATGGCTGTCGCTCAAGCGTGGTTGCCTGATGCAACACCAATGTCAGTACCGGTCAGCACTACATTCCGACAGCCCAGTATATTTACGGCCTACAGGCAGGTGTAACTGCAAGCTTGCATGCAAACAGCAACATGCTGACGAGGAGTTCTGCATCATCCGGATCAGGATTCACGGTGCTCCTGTTCCATTGAAAGTGAACCTTAGCGATCTACGTGAAGCGCTCGGGCTACCCAACTAGAGCCTACGGCCTCCATTTCGGCCGCCAACGCATATAAACACACCAGCACCAGCCATCGACATTGAGTATGAAGACAAAAACGACGATCAATTCGATGCAATGGAGCAGTAGTCAACAGAACAACAGTTATCGTATAATTGCTTATCGATAACGAATTTGGCTTGTATCCGCAATGACCATAGATGCCCTCACCTACATGTACTTTCTGTCTTGTACAATTGTACATCGCTACCGTCGTTACAGCGAGAGGGTCCTCGTGAGCAATGCCCCAGCTGCGTGAATGAGTTGTTGTAGCTCCTTGTACATATGTATTTTGGCATTGTCCATGACTACAATGGAACGTGGTAGTGGCCATGGGCTTAGAAATGGGAGGATTTTCTCCTTAGACACGTCGTGAAACTCCACACGTGTAAAAGTCCATTCCGTAGTCCCCACCCAACAAACCATCCACGTCCATTGCAGCCAGTATAGACACGCGCTTGAAATGCCATTGTAGTAAATGGGATCGACACTTGAGCCGGGGTGTTTCTTGTCCACCAGCCATAATGGCAAAAAACGGACCTATAAAGCACAGACATATACATGTATATAATTGTAGGTTGATAAACGAAATAATATATTTACGTCCATGTAATACAGTAATTGGCCGATTCCGGACGGAATCTGGAATGGTGCCCATACGATTTGATTGAAATTGAAGCAATCAAATCGATTCAAGCTACGAGGATTATTCATTCCGGACAGACCAACCAATTCACATAATTTGTGGTTGGCAGAAGTTTGATAAAAAGAGCGACCTGGAGCATAAATTAAATTTTATTTTGATGGCGCGGTTAAGTGGGATAGGTCGACGGCATCAGTGCGTAATCTAGTGGACAGCTGGTGAGCGAGTGTGGAGCGGTCGTGGAGGTGGCGGCGACGGTGGCACTGGTGGTGGGCGAGCGAGCGTGAAGGACGAGCGGCACGACTGCGGTGATCGAGTGTGGAGCGGCAGCGGGTGATAACGAACCATCGCGATTCGGGTGGGTATATGGGAGGGCGAGGTGCCGTTGATATCGATGTACGTGCTCGGCGCGCGCCCTACAGCGTGGCGGTGTAGTGTGGGCGACGGTTCGATGTGAATTCGTGGTGGATCTCTTGCAAGTTGGTAGAGTTGGATTGGTGCGGCGTGAGTACGTGCGCGATGCAGCGGGGCTGCCGTAGCTTTAGCGTCAGAGGAAGACGTTCGACTCAAAGAGTCACTAATACTAAGTTCCTTATCCAAAGGACACTTACAGCCCAAGACCAGGGCTCAAAGTTAACACCTTAACTTTTATGCTTCAAAACCAGAAGTGTTTTATTTACTATTATTGCGGCCAAGCCGCCTAGGGGTAAATGTATCTCTTTAACTATCTAGCATAGTTAAACCTAGTCAAATGCATAACGTGTGGCTTTCAGCCAACGTACTGAGATACCTTGTTAACTCTCCAACTTATGTACTGAGAGTTTGTTAACTCTCCGGGTACTTTGTACCCCTGTGTGCTCCACACCATGTAACCCCGTTACACTCTCCCCCACTAAGATGAGAACATTCCGTTCTCGAAACTCTCCTCAGCGAGGTCACGTCTTGTTAAGACGGCGGAGGTTACTACACCTCACACCAGCGTTGTACAGCTCCGTGAGCTCACAAACGCCTACGCATCGTTGATGCCCAACTTCTTGTCGTCGGCCCACGGCCCAATGCTCCAAGCGCAGCGCGCATCTTGCTCTCAAGCGGTCTCAGACCTACGCTCGCGCTCCGCGCCTACTCCAAGAGCTGCAAACCGCTTAGAGCAATGCTCTTGACTCATTCGAGTCGTCGACAACAGCTCAGCGGCTGGACACTCGCTTCACAAGCGATAGGTCCGTGGTTCAAACCCACTAGGGCACAGCCCTCTCGTTCCATGAACGATTGTTCACGCTTGGACAAGCTTAAGGGCAACACCCTTTTAGCTCAATGGTTGAGCGTTGGCTTTGAGAGCCACAGGTCGGTGGTTCGAACCCGCCAGGGCACAGCCCTCTCGTTCCATGAGCTGTTGTCCTTGAATGGACAAGCTTAAGGGCAACGCCCTTTCAGCTCAGTGGTCGAGCGCTGGCTTTGAAAGCCACAGGTCGGTGGTTCAAATCCACCCGGGCGCAGCCCTCTCATACCATGAGTAGTCCGTTCTCGGACTGACGTACGGGCATCGCCCTTGTAGCTCAATGGTAGAGCTTCGGCCTGTCAAGCCAAAGGCCAGTGGTTCGATCCCCGTGCGGGACACCACTTTCGCTGTTACAGCGCATCCACATTTGGATCATGCTCATCGAGCAAGTTGTTTCAAAACAACTATGCGTCTATCGAGACGCTTGTGCCTGAACCTTGTTCAGCACAACACGAAGCACCTGCTTCCTTCGGGACCAT